ATGTGCATAATTTACCAGAAACACAATAATTTTCCTAGTATATTCACCAAAAAGTTATAAAGTGTGCCTAGTTTACCAGAAACAGTTTCCTACTGTACTCACCATTCAGGTGGACAGCTTTGGCTTGCAGGAAGGGAGGATGGAATGGGAGGTGGTTAGTGTTGGAAGGAGAGTCCCCTTCCATGAGAACATCGGGGATCCGGCTCTCTGGTGTCCTCTCTCCCCTTGGGAGAGTCTGCAGCCCATCAGGACCTACATCTGGCTCACAGAGCCTCAACCTTTTCCGAACTAAAAGCTGGTCTAAAGTTGCCTGTTTCTGTCTTTTTTGTAACACTCTTCTGCAGTATGACATGACACTGTCACTAAACAAGTGAATGCAATGACTGGCTTTTTCTCTCTGTAGGGTCTTCTCTATAAATGTTCGTAGCTCTGTCCATTTTTTTCAGGGTTTCCCATACTTCATAAAAGGACCTTTACTGAACTAACTGTTGGTACTCCTGTTCCTCTTCAGAAAGCTCCTCAGCTGCCATTCTCTGTTGCTCAGCCAAAAGTCAGTAACGTTCCTCTGTAGACAACTCCTCTGCAGGTTTCTCCAACACTCAACATCATCACTGTTACTAGCAAGCATGTGGACTCCGCTGTAGTGACAGTGTCATCAGTGCAGTGTCAACTGAAGGCTCAGGCTCCTCTACATAGCCTTCAGAGTCTCTCCTGTATAATCCTGGCCACACTTTTTTTCTTAGAGACGCACTGGTCCAGGATTTTTCAACTAATTCTACACAGAACAGGATGCTGTAATGTTCCTTCCAGGGCTCTGTAAGGGTTAAATCCATATCTCAAAACCCTCTGGAAGCACTTCAGGAACAGTTCCTTGGGATATGGCTTCTTAAAGTTAGCTATAACCTGTGGTCCATAGTCTGCAGTAGAGGAGTTGTATGAGGTAGAAGGAACTCAACTGAGAGAGACGGGAATTCTTCACCAATGCCTCTCTGAAATCTCACGGATGAGCAGGAGCACTATGCATGATGAGGAGAGCCTTGATTGCTAAACCTCTGTCCTCTAGATATTTCTTAACAGTAGGACAGAAAGCCTCCCTGATCCACTCAAGAAAAAAGTATTCTTATTACCCAGATCTTTTGCCTTTAGGTCTCCACATGTCCTCTGGCCTATTATTCATGACTTTATGTTTTCTGAAATCACAAAGGGCTCTCACAGTGATAAACTAAGAAAGGCTTTATCTTGAGGTCACCACTCACACTGGCAGATAGCAATAAGGCTGGCGTCTCCTTCACAGGCTTGTACAGGCCTGGCATTTTCTCCTCTAGCTGAGTAATGTATGTTCTCGTAAGCATTGTCTTCTTCCAGAAAAGACCAATTTCATTACAGCAGAAAATCTGATAAGAGCAAAATCCACTTCTCTGTGCCATCGTTTCAAAGCGGTGTATGTAATTTTCAGCAGCCCTTTTATCAGCACTGGCTGCTTCATCAAGCTAGTTATACTAAAAACTCCCGTTCTCACTTTAAAACTTTGAAACTAGTCCTTACCACCACAGAGTGTTACACCATTATCACTCATTGATGCATAATCCTTTATGAGATCTGCATTTATAGCCCTAGTTTTTCCACAAATCATAGGCTCAGATAGGCTATAACCTGCCATCTGCCTTTCATTTATACACACTAATAAAGACTTTCTACTTCACCTACCACAGTTCATTGTGACTCACTAATCTGAGTAACACATTTAGCAACACTAGCTTCCTTATATAAATCTTTTCTCTGTAAGGTTGTCAAGATGGTGCATTCCCACATGCTGTACATATTAGCAAGATGGGTCACACAAATGCCACTCTCATGTTCTCCACAGTTTCTTTTCTCTTAGATTGTGATTTGTTTATTTACCTTCACTCCCTTCCTTAGCTTCTTTTCTAGCTTTCTTGGGGCCATCTGGATAGCACTAATGGTAGTGATGACATAAATCACTGACCAAAGTCACATGCACAAACCCATGCATCTGGGCTCAGACTGATGCCTATGTATGCCTTTCTGGCATCACAAGTCTTAGTGTACAACTGCATAAGCTGCCATCATTCAAATCTTAACACAAGACTTTGGTTGTAAATTAAACCTAAAAGTTCAGTCATAACCCAAGTGGTTCATATGTCCTCACATAGTTGTAACTTAAGGGTCCATTGTATCATGTCAAAATGATGGTAGAAGTGCTCAGAATTTCCTGAATTTCACACCATACTGTCATGATCTGAGTGTTTGTATCCCCTAAAATTCACATGCTGAAATCTAACCACCAAGATGTCCTAAGGAGGTTGAGCTCTGGGCTTCTGAAGATGATTAGGTCATGGAGGTGTAGCCTTCATGAATGGGATTAGTGTCAAATGGGAGCCCCAAGTCAGGGCTGTGGGTGTAGGTCAATGGTACAGCCCTTACCTACCATGAACAAAGCCTATGGTTGAAGCCTGAGAACTACAACAAACGAACAACAACCAAAAATCTCAGAGAAGCAGCAGCCACGTGGAAACTTTTCCCAAGGAAACTCCACCTAGGTATTTCCATGCTATGAAGCAAAGTAAAGCACACGAGGAAGAACTAGGAGAGCCTCCAGCCACAGCTGGAAAAAATCTTAAGAGGACAAGGAATAGGGACTCAGTCGAGCATGTGAAGCTCAGAGCTTCTGTTCTGTAAGTCTGGACTAAACAAAGGAAGCTGAACTGTGCCCCAGATACAAAACTGCTGGACAAAGCAATAAAAAGTGTGTATCCTGAAAACTCCTGGCCTTCAAGTTGCTACACACCAAAGCTGGTCCTTTGAGAATAAACAACCTTGGCTGCTGAAAGGTAAAGCACATTATCCTCTTGCCTGGGGAAAGCAAAGTCAGCAAACCAGTGGAGGATGAGAGGGAACGGCAACTATCTCTGTCTGTCTTCCCGACCCTTCTTCCCTAATCCTTCCAAGAACAGACGGGAAACTGCAGATGACTACAGGGGTACTTGATCTAGGCTGGGAAAGAGAGTCCTTGCAAATTAAAACCACAATGAGATAGTATCTCCTTTACATACGAATGGCTATTGCCAAAAGATAAAAAACAAGAAGTGCTGGTGAGGATGTAGGAAAAAAGGAACCATGCTCACTGTTGGTGGACACGTACCTTAGAACAGCATGAAAAACAACACGGCAAGGCCTCAAAAAATTAGAAAGAAAACTACCAGATGATCCAGCCACCCTGCTGCAGGCTACCTCTACACAAGGGAAATGATATCAAGTATGTTGAAGAGACATCTGCACTGTCATGTTGGCCACGGCACTATTCACAATAGACAAAAAATAGGAACAACCTAAATGCCTATCAACTGACGAATGGATAAAGGAACATGGTATGTTTATAGCATGGAATGTTACTAAGCAATTAAAAAATAGAAAGAATGAAATATTTCCATTTGCAACAACATGGCTGGAATTAGAAATCATTATGCCAAATGAAATAAGCCAGGCACCAAAAGAAAAGGACAAGTACTTCATGATTTCACTCAAAATGTGGAATCCGGTCTTGAAGACACCTGGGGTAGGGCATGCCTGTAACTCTAGCACCTAAGACACTCAACCAGGAGGACTGCCATGATCAGTATGGACTACATAGTAAGTTTAAAGCCAGCCTGGAACACGCAACAAGACCTTTAAAAAGAAAAGTTGGTCTCATCAAAGTTGAAAGTACAATGGTGGTGACAAGAGGCTGAGGAAAGAAGACGGGAGGGAGGCTGGAAAGTGGGTACTAAGTTACAGTTAGACAGGAGGAAGAAGTTCTGATCTGACTATGTGGAACAGCGATTATAGGTAATCACGTACTGCATTTTGAAAAGCTAAAAAATGCACTTTGGATGATTCACCATAAATGAGAAGACAGATAAGAGATAGATGCATGTAACTTGCTTCATAGAGCATATATTGGATATATATATATCAAACCATCACACTGTATCTTATTAATATATATAATTTTATGTATTGATGAATCTGTTATAAATAAATTTTAAAAAGTACAGATTTTTGCTGTTGTTTCCGATAGTGAGTTTGTTTGTTCTTTGTGGTGCTAGAAGCAGAATGTATGGCCCCACGTGCTAGGCAAGCACCGCAGCACTGAGCCACCCTCAGTGGTTGTGCTGTGGAGGGCTGCAAAGATTTCACACCGGGAAGGAGGACATTACACTGCACCGACTTTCCACTGTGAAGGTGATGGGGAAGAACTTTTAGCCGGCCATGAATGACAAGGTATCTTTTGCCACATTTTTCAAGCTCCAAACCCTGGAAACTGGATATTTAATGTGAAATTATATCTGAAGATGCAAACATCACCAGTGTTTTATCAGCTTTTCATTCTCCAATGGACAAAAATATATAATCTGAAGAATTCAAACTAAAAACGGCCTGTCAACAACTACATATCTCCTGAATTACAACTTAATCATCTTCACTCTCCACCTCTAAGACAGCATCACTACGGCTCTGCTGTGTGAAACGATTACCTCTAGTGTCTTTCACCAGCCTTGTCTCCTGCCTAGCCAGGGTACGGACACACATACATGATTAACGATCAGCTCTCAACCCCAGCACATTACTGATCCATCTTCTTATTGGGGATCAAAGATACAGCAATAACAAACCAGGTCCCTTCACAACGATGATATTTGCGCAGTTCTCAAAGGACTTACCTGTTCTCCCTTAGTCTCACAACTTATTACTTGCCTTATTTTGCAAGTGAGGAAGAGGAAGGAGAAATAGAATTGAGTGATGTGTCTGAGGGACAAGTGACAGAGCTGAAGCCAACCCTCATGGGTCTGGCTCCTGGTCACCTTGTTCCATTCTATCACGCAATGCCTAAGGCTGAAAACCTCATTTGTGATTCTGAGATCCATCACTAACAGAACTCAGCGGAATAAAAGTTGATCCACCAAAAAAAAAAAAAAAAACCTCTTAATAAAAATTCTTACTTGTTAACAAGCGGAATACTCAGGGCCCAGCCAGCAGCAAAATCTGGATATTTAAAAGCCGTAGGATTTTCAGAAAAGGCATAATGGTGAATTATTGTAGATTCTTCATCATGCAACGCTTTGCCTAAAAACCATTCCTATTAAATAAAAACATAAAATATCACTTTTAAAAAAAGCCATTTTATATAAGTCCAAAAACACAGTCAAAGCATTACTTTTAATTAGTTACATCTTGGGTGATAACATACAAACTATGTATTTCTACAGCATTTGAAAAACACAATCAGGATAATATATCCTAATATATACATATATGAAAATAAGTCAGATTATCAATATGAATACCATATTAATCATCGTTATACCATAAATGCAAAAAAGTTGCATATTCTAGACTATTCCATATAAAAATACTACTAAAGCAAAGAAAGCCATGATTCTTTATGTTCCACTTAGGTTTGCATAGCAAAATTTGAAAAATTCCTTAAGAATCAGTACCTGTTTCATTTATTCATTTATTCATTTGGTTAGTATTCACTGAGAATTTACTACACAAGGCAGAAACATAGCTTACATTGTACAAGGAGATGGAAATTTAGTAAGTAAATACAGTAACTGGGGGATATCTTAGAGGGAAACCTCTTACAATGTATCAAATGAAAGATAAAATAATATCAAGAGGCCAACTGTGTAAAAATCTTAGGATGAGCAATTGAGATGGTAAATGCAAAGTCCCTAAGGCAGAAGGAAGCTTAATACATTAAATGAAAACAGAAATCTAAGTGTTTAGCACAGAGTGGGATTGGGAAGCGTACGAAAGAGGAGACAGGCAAGGGCAAGTTTTTTGTGTCAAAGGGAAGAAATACAGACTCAATTCTAAGTGCATCGAAAGACCTCCACGTCTGGCCACAACAGAAGAGCCTGCATCAGATCTACTTCCACTAAAAACAAGCTTATATGCTGGAAAATTGGCCAAATAAATTACTGAAGACATCAGAAAACACCACAGGCAGACAAGGACATGCAGATTGGTGGCCTCTTTCTTTAAGGAGTTTGCCAGTTCCCCAGCTGTGAATACGAGGCAGTAAAAAGTAGTAGCTGAGAATCCCTGCAGTCTCCCTGGACAGAGGAGACAGAGGGCATTTAAGGTGTCCTAGAGAAGTGAGCCCAAAATTCAGATGCAATCTCCCCTTAAATATCTCAGCAGCACAAAAACCAAGAGGAAAAGACAAGAACTAAGCAGAAAGCAGCAGAAGCAGGCAGGCTAAAAAACTAAGCAAAGCTCTTAGGTTATCTTGTGGTACTGGGGCTGTGATGTTGGAGTTAAGGGTCTCCCAGAGCCCTAAGAGTAACAACAGTCTGTAAACAGACCTAAACCAGGTCCAAAATGCAGAATGCTACATCCTCTATAAAAAGGTGCTATCATCTCATCCACGGACTCCTTAATTTTTCACATAAAATATTTGAAATTTAGTCAAAAACTACCAGGCAAAGCAGTAAGTAAGATGAGGTCAAAGTCAAAAAGAGAAGGTAAAAAATAGGACGCACAGCTAAATAACACTTTACAGTCACCAAACAAAACTTTTAAATAATTATGATTAATATGCTTAAGAAAACAAATGAAGACCATTCAAGGGCCATAGCAAAAAGTCAGCCGCTTCTTGTGAATTGGTGCCATGTGTGGGCCACAGGGAGGACAACCAGACGCCAGCCCCTCAAGAAGAGCCAAGGCTCCCCACCCCTGGGAGCAACAGTTTTCATTGACTTTGCAGGTCTAAAGCTGGTAATCTGATCATCTATTACAGGATAACAATACACAGTATAGCACCTATGGGGGATCTCCTTCTGAAAGTGCTAGCCATTGTTAATTCCCTATTATATTATTTTAATCTGTATCATTTTCATTGTTTTGTTTGGCTTGACTTTATTCTGTTTTGCCTTGTTTCATTTTATTATATCTGATGGCATGGGCAGCTGTTTCAAAGATAACAAAATATGTTACAGTGGCTATTTTGGATTTGCTAGTGTCTTGTTTTGAAGTACTGTATTGCATTCATTGGTTTGTTTTTATTGGTTCTATTTTGTTCTGTTTTATTTGATTTTCCTGTGTCTGATGGTATGGACAGCTATTCTGAGGACAACATGAAATATGGTAGCCACTGTTGATTTATTATCTTGCTTTGAAACCCAGTATCATTCTGTTTTGTTTTGATTGGTTTTATTGTTTTATTTTGCTTGATTTTATTCTCTTTAAAATAAAGTTAAAAAAGCAAATAAATGAAAAGATGGAGAACTATACAAGAGAACTAGAATTTACAAAGAAGAGTCTGGTAGAAATTCTAAAACTGAATAAATCCAACAGAATTCAAGGAGATACTAAACACAATGGAAGAGAAGATTAGCGAGATGAAAGACAGGTCAGTAAAAAATATCCAGGTTTGATACACAAAAACGGAAAAGATGGGATAATAAAGAAAAGGTCTCAGCACAATATAAGATACAAAGGAAAGGTTGATAATACATGAAATTGAAAACCAACAGTAAGAGAAGAGATAGGATGGAATTAAAGCAACAGCTGAAGAAATTTAGAATTTCTAAAACAAAAATTTCTTGAATTATAGATTCAAGAAGCCCTATAATCAGGACACACAAAAGCCCTATGATGAGGATATACAAAAGCAAACCACATACAAATATTCAAAGGAACAAAAATATGATACAAAATTGGCTCTTTAATAGAAATAATGGAAAGTAAAGACAATGGTACATCATCTTTACAGTAAAGGAAGAAAACTACCGCCAACCCAGAATGCTACATCAAGTGGAAATATTTTTGGTGGAACGGGAAGCCACTGAAAGGTTCTGAGCAGCAGAGTGGCAGGATCTGAATTAGACAGAGACTAGATTATCAGGCTGCAAGAGCAGAAACCAGAAGAACAGGCAAAGGGACCTGTTACAGTCAAGGTGACAGATGATGGTAGCCTTGAGCAAAGCAGCAGCACTAAATATGGAGACAAGCTGGATTAGAGAGGTATTTTGAAAGTAGACCTATTGGAAAGGTCAACCTATAGATGAAAGGAAAAGCCACAAGTCCTACAGGTTTTATACGAGTGGCTGAAGGGACCCTGATGTCAATTCTGAGATGAGGAGGGCGAAAGATGAAAGAATTTTAGGAGGACATCAACAGCGCAGTTTGGAACTGTCAAATCTGAGATTCCTAGACAAGCGGGGGTCTTTAGTGGGCAGTCCGTTACAGGAAAGATGTGTGCTGGCTCACTTCTTCACTTCCCTTAGACTCCGCAGTGTGACATCAGTGAGGTACTCCTTAACCTTCTATGCAGACCATAAGCCCTCTCCCAATCTATTTTAGTTACTGTCTAGTCTGCATTATTTTTCTCCATAGCTCTTGTTACAATCTGATAGGTCAGTATGTATTAGAATTTCTGCTTATTCTCTACCTCCCTGAAACAAGAGTATCATGTCCTCGAGGGTACAGATGTTGTCCATTTTGTTCACTACTGTCTTTTGCAGGATATCTAACATATATGGGTACTTAAAAGCTTTTTGTTAAGTGGAGCAAGCCCCAGAAACACTGAAGAAACTAAAATATGTAATCAAGTTTAAATCAAGTACCCTGCCAGGGGTTTAGCTCAGCAGCATAAGTACCTGCTTGGCAAACGCGAGATCCTGAGTTTGATCCCCGGCACCAAATAAATAAATAAAGTACCCTGAGTTCTAAATGTTTTGTGTATTTTCTCTTACCAAACAAACACCACACTTCTCTATTCCTAACCAGTACATAAAGGCAAGAGGAGACAGTACTTAAGTACTCAAGTATTTTTAGGATTTACTGTACTGTGGTTAAATCCTAAATAACTGCCAGGGGTCTAGCTCTTGGTCGGTTCAGCAATATGACATAACAGAACATGAGCAGGAGCTATTAACACGACTATGTTTAGATTCACAGATCCCTGGAGTGACTTTCTGCTTGATACTTTGCCTATGGCTACATTAAGTCACTACCAGGTAAGAAGAATGGCTAACATCAAGGCAGTGACCTCAGCCTGAGAAAGAAATTTAACAGCTTTTCAAAAACAAACATCAATAATACAGCTCTTCGTCAAATTACTAAATCTTAACATGAAAATCACTCCATTTAACATACCATACCAGTATAGCTTTATATGAAGACAATAAATACTCCAACATATTTTAACAAGTTTCTTACTAATCTTTCATTATTAAAACTTCCATTCCAGACATAATTTTATGTAAAATACATTGTTACATTTCATCTCCTAACTGCAATTCAGCTATTATAAAGTATTAGTTTTCAATATTTCAATTATAAGTATTATAAAGTATTAGTTTTCAATATTTCAATTAATTTCCAATATTTTGTGCAAGTTATAAAGTATTTTAGGGAGGAAATTAACACATCATCTTTGGAAAGAGCTATATCCCCTATCTTTTTAAAAGACTTCCTTAATGGCTTCATGAAAAGGACAATTATAATCAAGATAAATTTTAAGAATAATGCTGACCGAGTTCACTACTAGTATCTTAGAATTGCACAGGTAAATAATAACCAGCATCTGTGTTTCACTTCTATTAAGAATAAATAAAGAGGTCAACACACTTCATTAAAAACACATACATTAGTGGGGAAAAAAAGAAAGACTTCAAACAAGATAGGCAAGTTTATAGAAATCACCTAGGAAAGTATTTTAACAAAGATCATTTTTACATTTCAAATACTGTATAAAAAGTATAAATTTGCATTTGTAAGAATGAAACAAAAAAAGAAAGAAAGATATTGGAAAAATTAGAAAAAAAAAGAATCAAGTTATATCTCATACAAGTATCTAAAATGTACCAATAAACTTAATTTTTTAAAAATGAGAATTACATAAGCTATATAACCCCTAACACACTAATAATTAGTGTTTAATGGGGTTTATTTGGGTCAATATCAAAACCAGGTACACTTTATGCTTTTTTCCTAAGATTTCAAGTAGTAAGGAGAAATCACACGGGTTTGAGCTAACCTCAATATTATGTAATCTTTATTCCTCAGTGCTAGTTTCAAAAGAAATACAGCATCCTAAATTTTCTTCCACATAGCAGAGTTCAGAAAAGAGGAGAAAAAGTCTCATTTTACCTCTGTTCTGTACTTGCTTTTCATGAACTTGCTTTGAACTTTTACATTTATCATTCCAATTTTCATTAAAAAGCACATGAGTCACCATCTCCTATACAGAATTAGAGCCATGGATAACGGAAAAATAATCTCCAGGTGAAACGAACACTAGGAGGAGGCTGAAACTCCTACGTCCTAAAAAGACTTGGGAGTTTTTCTCAAGTCAAAAAGAAACATAAAAGTTTAATAAATGGTTTACATAAAACACGGCAGCAAAGAACACAGATGCTGGTTAACATCATCTGAAAAGGCTAAATGAAACAGGTTCATAATTCTTCTCTTGTTTGGAGACACTATATTTTTTTCATTTCATGATCATCTCATCCTATTATATCTGAACCTTTCCAGAAATCCAAAGCAGAAAGAGAAATCATGATGGACCCTTTCCAGCACTAAAAGATCACCAAAATGAGTGGCAGTTATTAAAGTAACAAACTGTCCGGTATTTGAAAAATGGCTGTTGCCCAACTTTCACATTTATAACACACAAGCAGGCACGCAGAGCTTGCTGTCACCTGACACTTACTAAACCCCACTCATTTCTAGAGCAGGTACCTGGTTAGTGCAGGCCCACCTGTGTTTATATCAAGTCTAAAGGATCATGAAATGACCAGGTTCCATCAGGGCTTCTAGAAGAAAACTGAATTAGTCTGATTGACTCTTGCTGTTATTTTCAAGGCAGCTCTCTAAGCATACTGAGTCTCTGAATGTAGCGTAGAAGGAATAATGGTAATTCAGAGGCTGTAATCACTCACAAATACTCACTGACCACCTCTTAAGTTTAGACATTCTTTGCAAGGCTGAGGATTTAGAGGCAAATACCGTTTAGTTGCTATGTCAAATCTGCACAAAAAAAGACTTGAAAAAACGAGTACAATAGTAAACTTCATTGAGTACCTCTATGGCAAACAGCAGCCCTTCTCCTGTACATTGCTTTTCAGGGTTTCTTTTCCCTGCTACAGCCGCGTTCCTCTCCTGCTCATTCTACTCCTTACAGCATTCAGACTAAGTGTTATTTGCATCTTACCCTCCCATATGAGGTTCAATGTCTCTGTGAAATTCTTTTAACAACATCTAACGTGTCCATTACTACAGATGAGTCAGTTTAAACTTTCATTGATTCTCTAACCACCCATCATCCTTGATGTCCTGCACCACCCATGCACTAGGATCCCTGTCCGCTCTGCCCTAGTGCCTGGCAGGCATAGCTTTTTAAATCTCTGAAACTGCTAACACATATAAACATTTTTTTTCATTTAAATGGCTCATTACATATGCATTCTTTGTAAGTTACAAAATTCAAAGAGAATTTTTTAACACAGGTTCCAGACCAAGTATTATTTCCATTTAAATTAAGTGTTTTTACTATTCAAATATCTGTTAATCAAAATTAAATATGCTTTGAAGCAATTGCCCCAAAAGTGAAAGTGCTGATATTAAAGTTGTATTCACCTTAGATGGGTCATATCGTCTGAGTGTTTCTAAGAGTTTTGGAATTTGAATTCTTGTCTCTTCTTCACAGAAGAAAATCCATGATGAATTTCTGCTATATGTTACAGAAAAACTAACAAAAAGAAATATGTTACAGTAATCATTCATGGAAAATGGATTTTTAATAAGATTTAAAACTGTTAGGTAGGAAATTGGTAAAGGAAAACTAGGGAAAGTATTGATAAACAAGAAAATATTTGATCGTTTTTCCTCTATTTTCTTATAGTAATGATGTACAGAACATCTAGAGATCTTAAAGTTCATTCTCTCTGTACACCAGTCCAAAAGACAAATAATTTTCAAATATCAATTTTAACTGTTTCATTTTTTAAGAAAAAAAATACTTAAAAATAAAAATTTTGCATGATTAAGAGTTAATCATCAAGAAACCTGGCTAACAGAGTAATCAAAAGAGTAAGACTCAAATTTATTCACTTACAGAGTGAGGAAACCCACACCCTCTACATAAGAACACTAGTGCGCACAGGAGAACTGAGGTTGCGATGTTAGTAACTCTAAGGGAAACACACATACTGTGGTAACAGTGGAAGTATGGTCCAGGCACCTTCCTGCTTAGCCAGCTGGTGAAGGAGGAGCACTCTGGGGAGTTCCTACAAACAAAATCATCATAAAGAGAGGTGAGAACACACATGGCTATTGCACTGAATCAAATGGCATAGCTATGTCTAGAGAGCTGGCTTGTTGCTCCCCCTGTCATTCTTGTCTTTTTGACACGGTCTCACTCTGCAGTTCAGGCTGGACTTGAGCTCACTGTGTAGCCCAGCCCAGTCTTGAATGTGCAATGATTCTCCTGCCTCAGCTTCCCAAATGCTGGGATTACAGGCATGCACTAAGCCCAGCTCATATCATTCTCGTTTATCTAGTTTGTGTCAGGAGTCTCTGCAAGTGAAGTACGTTGGCTGCATCCACACAACTTCCCCAGCATCCAGGGTACCTCGCATTGCTCAAGACCTACAGAGAAGGTTTGCATTAGAACCAGGAACCACTCAGAAATTTTCAGATTGGCAAAGGTGACTGAAAGGAAGGAGTCCAAGGCGAGTCAGGGAGTCAAAGACACAAAACCAGTATTGTATTTAACAGTATATGTAAACCATGTTAAATAAACTCTTTAGCTAAACAAAAAAGTATAATATTGAATCTATTTTATGTGGGAAAAAATTGCTTAAAATGCTCTAAAAAAGGATCTGGATAAAAGATGGCAGATAGATAACAGCAGCTACAGTGGCTCTCTGAGATAGCCAGCTTAGATTCCAGAATGGTGCAGTGTGGGGAGTCCTAAGCAGAGGGAGGTATACCCTGCTGACCCAGGAATGAACTAAGCTGAGGGAAACCCATTGGAAATGCAGTCGGGGTGCTACGATTGGAACAGCTAAAGTCTCGGTGCCGCCGCTTGAACTCATAGATTGAATTTGCTGCCACTGATGCACCTGAAGTGGCACAGCCAGGACAGCTCGCTAGTTTCAACTCATTGGAGATGTGAACGCTCTGAGAGCGGGAATCGGTGAAACGAATTGAGAACAGAACCGGTGGGGAACCCTGCATTGACCTGTGGTGAGTGAGAAAAACAGGGACCCTTCCATAGACAAAGAGGCTCCAAAGTGGACATTCTGGGATTGGACACACTGACTGGAACAAGGCACTGCAGTGACTTCAGTCACATGTTCCCCTCTCACGCAGGAATGGTGGGGAGTGCTTGACCTGGGTGACGCCACAGACTGAGGCCCAGTAGGCTAGCCCAAATCAAGTCCCTGCACCTGGCAGTGCACCCTAATGCAGTAAAGCCTTAGTAGATTAACCTGGAGAGGCAGGCCCAGCATAGCCTGCCAAGGTCTGTACCTCCTAGTACATGCAGTGGGTGGGAACACCTAGTCAGCACACTTCAGACAAACTGAAACCAACGAAGAAAGAAACTGGGCCTCCTATATATACCTGTATGGAATGAACAAAAAAATATGAGAAGAGAAGGCAACAAGAAAGGGTCCTTGGTCCCACCCAAATTCTGAGAACACTGATCCAGGAAAGGTAAATGCAAAGGAGAATGAGGACACAAAACATGCAATATCAGGCATGACACCAAGAGACATAAAGCAATATCTTCAGGACCTCATAGACAAGTTCAAAAGTGAAGTATTTAACCAAGTAAAGCAAGATATAAGTAGAATAGTTAAAGAAATGCTAAGCACCTCCCAAGAAAAAACAGATGGTGGAATGGAAGAACAGAAAAAAATGGGAGAATTGTTTGATGGAGAAAATAGAGAAAACATAGAAGACGTGAAGCAGGTTCAAAGAGATTACCAGGAAACTAAAAACTCTATTGAAAGCTGGCATAACAGCTTGAAAGAAACTAAGGATAGATTATCTGAACTGGAGGACAGGTTTGCAATATGGGAACATGAAAGGAAAACTTCTTAAAAATAACAAGGAAACAAGCAGTAACAATACAAAGGCTAGAAGATAACAAGAGGATCTATAACTTAAGAACAGATAGCAGCAGCTACGGAGGCTCTCTGAAAGACCCAGCTTAGAATTCAGGAATGGTGCAGAGTAAGGAATCATAAGCAAGAGGAGATATGCCCTGCTGACCCAAGAACGAACTGGGCTGAGAGAAAACAACTGGGAATGCAATCGTGGAGCTGTAACAGGAACAGAAAAGCCTCAGTGTGGAAGCTGGAGCCCGCACCATTGGAAGCTGTGGTTTAGGTTTCCTGCTGCTGCTGTTGCGTCTACATTGGATCGGCAGCGAGAGAGACAGGCGAAAGCTCTGAGAACGGGAATCGGTGAATGGAGTTGAAAGCAGGACGGGCGGGGAGCTGTGCATTGACCGTCAGGGAGTGAGAGAAACTGGGACTCTTCCACGGTCTAGAAGACTCTAACAGAGGACATTCTGGGACCAGGCAGACTTGCGGGAACAGGGTGCTATAGTGACTTCAGTCACGTATCCCCCTCTCAAGCGGGAGTGGTGAGCAGTGCCTAGCCTATGTGACGCTGCTGGCTGAGACCCAGTAGGCTAGCACAACCCAGGTCCCAGCACCTGAAGGTAGATTGACCTGGAGGGGCGGGCCCCGCATAGGCTGCCTGGTCTGCAACTTCCTGGTGTGCTATGGTGGGCGGGAACACCTAGCTGGCACAATTCAATCAGACTGTGGCTGACAGGGAAGGAAGCTGGGCCTCCTATATACGCTTGCATATATAAGGAACAAAGAATATGGGAAGAGGCAGCAACAAGAAAGGCTCCTCGGCCCCCAATCCTGAGAAAGAGGCAATAGCAGACACAGCACCAATAGATATAAAGCGCTATCTCCAGAGCCTCATAGACAAGTTCAGGAATGAAGTTATTAATGACCTGAAGCTAGACATAAGCAGAATAGTTAGAGAAACGCTAAGCATCCCCAAGAAAAAGAAGATGGTGGAATGGAAGAACAGAAAAAGAGGGAAGAATGGTTTGATGGAGAAAATAGAGAAAGCATAGAAGACGTGAAGCAGGTTCAAAGAGATTACCAGGAAACTAAAAACTCTATTGAAAGCTGGCATAACAGTTTGAAAGAAACTAAAGCCAGATTATCTGAACTGGAGGGCAGATTTGTAATATGGGAGAATGAAATGAAAAACTTCTTAAAAATAACAAAGAAACAAACAGCAATAATTCAAAGACTAGAAAATGATAAAAGGATCTATAACTTAAGAATTAAGAACATAAAAGAAGAAGTAGGGACACAAACAAATGAACTACAAAACCTACTCACAGAAATAATCCAGGAGAATTTTCCTAATTTAGCAAAAGGTAAAGATACTCAGATGTATGAAGCATACAGCCACCCACAACCCAAACAGAGCAACACCCAGCCATATAATAATTAAAATTCCAGAAATCCAATACAAGAACAGAATATTAAAAGCCATCAGAGACAAGAAACAGATCACTTACAAGGGAACACCCATCAGAATTACAGCAGACCTCTCAGCACAAACCATCAAATCATGAAGAGTGTAGAGGGAAATAATTCAAGCTTTGAAAGATAATAATCTCCAGCCACGATTGATATATCTTGCACAACTATCCCTGGAAATTGATGGAAAAACAAGGTGCTTCCAGGATAAAGAGGAACTAGGGGAATATGCAACCACCAATTCAACTCTACAGAGAATACTGCAGGATATTCTAAAAAAGAAAAATACAAAGAATCCAGAAATAGTGACAGAGAGGCCACAATGAATGGAGCAGAAAACAAAATGAAGAAGACAAACTGACAACTAATGACAGAAAAAAGAGCTCAACAGAAATGAAGCAGAGAAGATTGGATGATAGGACCAGCTATTTTGGAAAAAATGACGTCTTAATAGGTAACACTGATTTAGTATCATCTTGTTTTGAAGTCTCATCAAGCTTTTGTTCTTCTGTCTCCATTGGTCTAAACAGGTTGTATCTTATTGGATTTTATTATATATGATAGTATAAGCAAAAACTTTTATAGACAAGGAGATTATAAAGAAACCATTGTTCATTTTCTGTTAGTTGATTCTAAATACCCTGTAATACTGTCATTCTCTTAAATGGTTTTACATTTTTTGATATATTTGATGCTACGGTATACGAAGTTATACTCAAAGATTTCAAGGAAAGAGACAATATGGTTACTACTTTTATGCTGGGAATATCTTGTGGTGAAACACTATTTTGCTTACATGGTTATGTTTTGATCTGCGCTGTTTTGCTGTTATGCCACTTTTATCTCAATCTCCATTTTATTATTAACTTTTTTATTTTTATCCTTTTAATTAAGGGAAAAATAAATAAAAAATAGCAGGATATATTATAGTAACCCACTTTGACTTTCCATTATCTTGATTTAAAGCCCTGTTTTGCTCTCACCATCTTGTTTTGACTGATGTTCCTCTATTCTGTTTTGCTTGATAGTACCAGGTTCAAAAGTTTAGGCAACAGCTGTGAAGATAGTGGGATTCATTATGACACCCATTCTGGTCGACTATTATCTACTTTTGAAGACCTATAATGTCTCTAATGTTTTGGTTTTGTTGGTTTTGTTCTTTACTGCTTTGTTCAATTTTATTATAACTGATGATATAGGCAATTCTTTTAGAGATAGCGGGAGGCATTATGATAACCATTGTTGATCACCTTGTATTATGCTTTTACATTATCTATTATGTCCACCCTTTTGATTTGACTGTCTTTGTTCTGTTATGTTACATTTGGTTCTACTCTCTTCCAAAAAAGTAATAAGAACTTTGGGAGCAACAAAATCCAAAATGTGTAATTGTCATTGTACAAAAGAGAGGAAAAGAAAGTGCTCTAAACGATATAACTGCATGTATATTTAAGTGTATAAGATAAATAATAATATTACTCAGTTTTGTTGGATCATTGAACAGAACTGTTTGCAGTCTCACTGTTGAAATGTCCACTTTATAAGCTTTAATTTTGTAACTTGAACAATTATTTCTAAGATGACAATAATGTAATCCATTAACTAGTGATTTCCTGTTTATTTTTTTCTGTAAATCTGTGTAATTTGTACCCTTTCTCTGCTTTTTTTTCTTTTTGTCCTTAAATAAAATTAAAAAAAAAGAA